ACCCTCCCGTGTACATAGATAGGAAGCGTTTTTATCTAGGGTAGAAAGTAACTAAGAGTTTATTCTAGAATACAACCAAACGTAGACGACTATGGTAAACTACCAGCTTGGACGAAATGTAATAACAAAACTCCCAAATTTTGAGGTTTCACGGGAACCGTTCTCATCCTAATCATCTTTCTTTACCAAATCTTCTCCAAACGGCGCATAATATAAATTCACCATCACACCTGCTGCACCCGCACTGAGAGCCTTTCCACCTCCGCATTCCCTTCATCCCTCCGCTCCTAGCTCCACCGCCCGCGGGACCAAGTTCCCGCGGCGTCAGAGATGGGCGCCCCAAACATCTTGTCAAAAACACCTCTGCAGAGACTCAGAGCTCTGGTTTCCTACCGAGACAGCCCGCGAACCCAACTACCTAAAGCGAGCAAAAATTTCTCTCTGAGGGAATCGCCCAGCGCCCTTTCATTCCCGCGGGGGCGGAAGCGGAAGTGCTCGTGGGTCATAGAGTTTTCTAGTTCCGGTTTCGGGGCCGCGCTAGAGCGCCTCTCCGCCGCCGCAGTTGCCCACCGCCGGGGGCTTCTAATTCCGGGTGCGGCTCCTGTCCTAAAGCGGAGACCTCCCGTCTGGGGCGGGGCCTCGGGTGCCGGCCCGCACGAGCACCTCTGATTTCTCAGGACAGGCCGGCTTTTGAGCCCTCGCGATTGGAAGCCCCCGATCCGCAGCTTCCACGGTTGCAGCTCGAGAGGACCGACCTCCTGGCCCCTGCCTCTCCCCCATGGCCACGCTCTGCCCTGTGAGGTGCAGCGTTTGCAAGTAACCCCTTCCCCACACGGCACTTCCACCCACGTCCTGCCTTAACTTCCTTCTTCCTTGAGACCCGTCCCCTCTGCCTCCAGAAGTGGTCTTTTCTCCCCCAATTCCGGTAAAAATTGAGAATTAGGAGTTTCGGGTATCCTGCAGAAAGATTACCTTTAAGACTGAGCACCCACTGGGTACCCCAAACAAGTTCATGCTGACTGGAGGCAAAGTGAAACCCAGTGCACGCAGGAAACTATGGCCGAGCACGGGGCTCACATCACAGCTGCTTCTGGGGTGGATGATCAGCCATCCATCTTTGAGGTGGTAGCACAGGACAGTTTAATGACAGCAGTGAGACCTGCTCTTCAGCATGTGGTCAAGGTAAGGTATTAATTCTTGAAATGGTTTTAGGGACGACTGGGTAAACACCAAACCAATAATTTGAGTTTATCTTGGAGCCTAGGTTTGAAATGACCAATTAGCACACAATCCATATCCTATTATTCATATAATTTAACGGTTATTGAGCCCCTGTTATGTGTAGAGCCCTGTAATGAATGCCCAGCACTGCAGGAAGGATAGGGTAAGCCCCAAAAGTAGTGATCTGTTTAATCTCAAAGTGTAGAATTTAGAGGGTGTGGGGATGAGGGGAATGCAAATATAAGGCATAGTAGCTGTGCAATGGAATGCATTTCATTTATTAATATCTACTTCGCTTTAGGTTCTTGCAGAATCAAACCCTGCCCACTATGGCTTCTTTTGGAGGTGGTTTGATGAAATCTTTACCCTGCTGGATCTTCTGCTCCAGCAGCATTATCTGTCTAAAACCAGTGCCTCATTTTCTGAAAACTTTTATGGCTTAAAGCGGATTGCCACGGGGGACACACACAAGCTTCAGAGACTGGCCAGTGCTGGTCTCCCAAAGAAGCAGCTCTGGAAGTCCATTATGTTCCTGGTTCTTCTTCCCTATCTGAAAGTGAAGCTGGAGAAGCTGGTTTCTAGCCTGAGAGAAGAGGATGAATATTCTATCCATCCCCCTTCTTCCCGCTGGAAACAATTTTACAGAGCCTTCCTGGCAGCCTACCCATTTGTTAACATGGCCTGGGAAGGCTGGTTTCTTGTACAACAACTTCGATACATCCTAGGAAAAGCTCAGCATCACTCACCACTACTTAGTCTGGCGGGAGTTCGGCTGGGTCGACTTACAGTTCAGGATATACAAGCCTTGGAGCACAAAGCAGCTGAAGCCAGCATGATGCAGCAACCAGCCAGGAGGTAAGGCCTTAACATTTCCCCCAAATCTTTGATGAACAGTTTCTAAAATCTCACTTTAATTTTATGAAATCACCTCCTTCAGTCCACATTGAGTTATTTCATAAAATCATAGAAAAATTCTGTGTTCATAAAACAAGGATTGCCATCCTGGTAAGCAACCTCATCAAAACTACTACACTTGCTATGGCCAGGCCCTGAGCTAGGTGTTTGTTTTATATACATTATCCCAATCCCCATCACAACTCATGCATTAGCCCCATTTAACAGCTGAGGAAACTAAGCCCTAGCAGCTAAGTACCTTGTCAAGGCCACACAGCGAGAAGGTGGCAGAGCTGAGATTCAAGGCAGATCAACACAATTCTCGACTGCTCTTAACCACGGTGCTATTCTGCTTGTAGTTAGTGTTCATGTTCTCCTACAAGTTTTATTTTTTCTCCTACAAGTTTAAATATATATTCCTCAATGCTGCTAAGTTAATTTTTTTTAAGTGAGTTGTTTCTTTTTCTGGATATACTATCTTCCACACATACACAAAAAGGTCTATGTAATCAATGTCTCACTAATTTCTTCTCAACACACAACAAAACCCTCGTCTTTAAAAACAAAGCTTTGCTCCTAGGCTTCTAAAATACTGTTAGAAAGAGGGAATCATTTAGAATACAACCTTAAGGAGACAGTGCCAGTCTGACAACTGTTCATTCCCCAAAAGAATTGGTGATTCTGATGAAAAGTGTGAGAACTACATTTATATTAGTCACTCTGCAGTTGTACCTAAATAAACAGTTTCTCCTTTTGCCTTCTTGTTCTATTTTCCAACAGTATTAGTGAGAAGATCAAGTCAACTCTGAAAAAAGCTGTGGGGGGTGTTGCCTTATCCCTCTCTACTGGCCTGTCTGTCGGTGTATTCTTCCTGCAATTCCTTGAGTGGTGGTACTCATCTGAAAATCAAGAAACCATCAAATCACTGACTGCCCTGCCTACTCCACCACCACCTGTACACCTAGACTACAATTCTGATTCTCCCCTGTTACCCAAAATGAAGACTGTGTGCCCACTGTGTCGTAAAACCCGGGTGAATGATACTGTTCTTGCCACCTCTGGCTATGTGTTTTGCTATCGCTGTGTGTTCAGTTATGTGAGGACTCACCAGGCTTGTCCCATCACAGGTTATCCAACAGAAGTACAACATCTAATTAAACTGTACTCCCCTGACAACTGAAAGGGATTAGCATCTTACCTCGCAGGAAAATCATTGCCCAGAAGGCCACAGGGCTGGTTTTCAGCATGGTACACGGCGTTATTTGATACTTCTTTGCCTCTATTCATAATTATATGAATTTTAAAAAATTATATGGATTTCTTTAAAAGGATATACCCATGGGATTTAACCTTCTAACCTGCTCTCCAGGCCCCAATTTAAAGTTAACCAAGCTGATTAGAGTAAGAGAATTGAGGGTCAGTATAGAAGTGGATAAAAGAGGATAATCAGTACAGAAGCTTTTCCTTAAAGAACAAAGAGGTATAGAAGCTCTCAGGAAACACCCATGTTAGACCTCATAAAGTGGGTGGTGAAGGGGAAGCAGACCTTGTATTTAAAAAAGTTTTCCTTTGCCTATGAGGAAGAGGTTTTATCAGTTTACAATGTGAAAAGTGGGCTTACTCTTTTGAAAAACAATACCTCCTATATACTGTGACCCATTTGTTATGTAATGTCTGCTGTAATTTATCAACTTTTAAAGATTTCTTTATGAGTCTTGGGAAACTGGTTAAAGGAAAATTAAGGTGAAGTGTATATATAGATTTTGGTGAGAAAGCAAAACTAATAAGCAATGAAGAGATGAAGTAAGGCCTAGGTGGTGTGGCTCAGTGGTTAAGCATCAACACAAGCACCAAGAGGTCACCGGTTCAATTCCCAGTCAGGGCACATGCCTGGGTTGTAGGCTCAAGTCCCCAGTGAGGGGCATGCAGCAGGCAGCCAATCTCTCTTATCAATGTTTCTATCTCTCCCTCTGCCTTCCTCTCTCTCTAAAATCAATAAATATTAAAAAAAGATGAAGTAAAATACTCATCTATGTGTAAAGAAAGGCTCCTTTAATAAGCCCTTTCTCCTTGCAATTAAGAGTTTGCTAAACTGGCATGAATAATTCTGGCTATTACTAAAGTTTCTATGAAACGCTTAAATACATTTCAAGAATAAATGTTTTTTGGCAAAGAACTGTTCCATGTTGTCATGATTGTACAGAAACTGAAAGATTACTTGAGGTGTTTAAATTTTTCATTCAAACAACCTTTGACTTTTGGGGGTATTTTTGTATTAACATTTTGTGGGGTTTTTTGCTAATCCAATAATTGGGGGGAAAGTCCTCTACTCCAACAGCAAGAATTCAGCATTCAGCCTTGTTCGAAATGTCTTGTATTAGAAAGACTACAAAAACACTTTAAGTTGCCTATGTAGAAAAATTCATGCCTGGATTGGCAAATTGATGAAAAAATATGGGTTAAAAAAATCATAACTAGATGAGGAAGGATGAAAGCAATTTGTAGGTGCCGCTGCTGAGATAGGCCTTTCCCAGTATTTTAACTCATTTTAGCAATTCAAAGGACAAACATTCTCTAATAGCACTAAGGTGATAAAACTAAATTCTGAAATGGAACATCCTATGGATTTTAAAATATTAACACTTTTATGTGTCACTAGAGGCCCAATGCATGAAATTTGTGCAAGGGGCTCGACCCTGGCAGCGGAGGTGGCTTGCTCGGCTTCATCCGGAAGGTCTTCATCCGGAAGGTCTTCATCCGGAAGGTCGTCTGAAAGGCCATCAGGTCTAATTAGCATATTACGCTTTTATTATTATAGATAAAAAGAGTATATGGGATAGTTGCAAGAATTCTTGTTAAATAGCAAGGTTTTACCAAAGCAAGTATCAATTTAAAAAACATTTTTAATATAATAAGTCAATAAGAGAACTGAACCAGATTCAGGATTGAAATAACGTAGTACTCCATGAAGTTATCAAAGCCAGATTTTTCACCTCAACCTAAGAAGGAAAACAAAGTATCAGTAAAATTCAAACAGATACCAAAGAAACACTCATATACATAATAAAATCAGTATCCAAATAGGCTAGAACATACCAATGTGGGAAAACCATAACCAGACTCAGCTCAGAGAGAAGATTAAGTGATCACACCCTGGTCAGAGCCAACACTGAAGCAATGGCAATACCAGGTCAGACTATACTTCACTCATCATCGCATCACTGCATTTCACCGCCTTGTTTTATCTAAGAGTATTTTCACTCGCTGTTTTCACTTCTAAAAAAACTTAGGTTTACCCATGAAAAAAATAAAGCCTTCTTTTTAGATAAGTTTAAATTGCAACCATTTTATCTTCCACTATGCTTTGGTTTAAGTAACTCTACTGTACAAAAATGCAAATTTGAACAAGTTTTGTTTGGGGGAGCTTTTTTGTTTTTGAAATACAGGTGAGTGGGTAAGCACTTACAGTTTTAAAAAAACACAACTTTTTTTTTAATGAGCTCAAACACAATGCAAGATAAAATTTCAGATGCCTGCAAAGGGATTTAGAGATAAGTTCTTAAGCAAAAGCTTTACAAAAGATTTTTATACTAAATTCTCTTATAAAGTAAACTCCAATTCATTTAAAATATATTTTGATTTACAATCATGCTGCACATAAAGATAAAAACTAGTCATGAATTTGTTATACCAGGATCTATCTATCTTAAGAGTCCAAGACCCAGAAAGGCTATGATTTGCCTAAGGTCCTTAGCAAATTAACATCAGCTGGAAAGAGAACTGAGGTCTGATGACCAGATTTATATTTTTCGTTACAATCATGCTGCACATAAAGATAAAAACTAGTCATAAATTTGTTATACCAGGATCTTCTAAAGAGTCCAAGACCCAGAGAGGCTACGATTTGCCTAAGGTCCATAGCAAATTAACATCAGCTGGAAGGAGAACTGAGGTCTGATTACCAGATTTATATTCTTTCACTATCAGCTAAATATAAGGTTTAATTTCATTTTCCTCCAGGGCATGAGCAAGATAAAGGAAAAAAAGGGAAAGCCTGGATAATTCACGACCTGAACAATTTCTGAATGAAAAGGCTGATTGCATTTCATTTATTCTAAATGGCACCTGGTGATACACAATCATTGACGTGGAAAAGTACTAGGATCACCCTTTTTGTGTCACCCTTTCCAGCCTTTCAGCATGGTATTGACAGTATCTAACAATTCTGGAGACACCACATGCTTCAGCCATCTATAAGTATCAATAGGTTGATTTTCCATAAAACTGACAATCGGTCTGTGTTTGCCATTTAGCAACTAAACTCCATAAAGAGAGGGAAACTAAAGTGTCTGTTTTACAGGGGTTATGCTTGAGCCTTTATCTCATCATCCTCTACACAAAGATACTTTCCTAATTTTCTTCCTTAGTACACTGCGCCATCTGGAATGCTTCCCCGCCCCTTTCAACGTGGAGAGCGCCTAATTACAGTTTTAAAACCTTACTCAATTGTCACCTTCTCTCTGTTAAGTGGTCCCTAACTCCTCAGTCATCCATCCCCTCCTCTGAATCCCACAGCACTTTTCCCCACCACAACACGCATCAAACGCCATTTATTCACGATCCCCACCTCCCCCATCACAGGGTTCCTAAAGAACCAGGACTGAGTCTTACTGGCCTTTGCATCCATTGCACTCAGAATGGTGCATAGGAGGCGGCTCAATAAATGAGCGTTTAACCCAGTCAATGCACGACCCTCCCTACTAAATCCTAAACACCTAGATTGTAAAGGCATCAGCCGACTTACCTCCAACGCGTCACGTAGGTAAGGACCACATCGCAAGCATCTCTAAACCCGCCCCCCCCTTCTGCCTCATGGCGCTCTGCACGGCGCCCTGCGCAGGACAACCAGTGCTTACACACAGGGGACCGTCAAAAATAACGGTGCAAACCCCACCAACTCCAAGGAAGACAGAGAAGCCGTCCTTGCGGGGAAAGGCGAGTAAGGCCGGAGCCAGGGCTCACACCAGACCCAGGCAGGAGTCCTAAGCCCCATTTGGAAAATCCTAGAACTCCTACGCCCTAGACTCCCAGGAGGCTGGCCCAGCCGGCGAAGGCTCACGGAGCCGACTGCTGGGCTCCCAGCCCTCCCTCCATGACCACAGCTCCCACTTCCCACCGGCCTCTGCCTCCAGGCCCCGCCAGCATCCCACCACCCACTGCGGCCTCTGCCAGATAACCAATCCCGCGGCGGCCAGCGGGTCACGTGCAAGAAGCAACCAATCGGAGGGCGAGGCGAACGTCAGGGGTGGAGCGAGCCGGAGGGCGGAACCCCCTTTTCCGTCACTTGGTTTCACGGCGCCCTGCGCAGGACAACCAAGGCTTACACACAGGGGACCGTCAAAAATAACGGTGCAAACCCCACCAACTCCAAGGAAGACAGAGAAGCCGTCCTTGCGGGGAAAGGCGAGTAAGGCCGGAGCCAGGAGTCCAAAGCCCCATTTGGAAAATCATAGAACTCCTACGCCCTAGACTCCCAGGAGGCTTGCCCAGCCGGCGAAGGCTTACGGTGCCGACTGCTGGCCTCCCAGCCCTCCCTCCATGACCACAGCTCCCACTTCCCACCGGCCTCTGCCTCCAGGCCCCGCCAGCATCCCACCACCCACTGCGGCCTCTGCCAGATAACCAATCCCGCGGCGGCCAGCGGGTCACGTGCAAGAAGCAACCAATCGGAGGGCGAGGCGAACGTCAGGGGTGGAGCGAGCCGGAGGGCGGAACCCCCTTTTCCGTCACTTGGTTTCCAGGCGGCTCCATTTTCAGAGTTGGGGCAGGCGCTTTACACCAGACTCGGAGCAGTTCTCGCCCGCCCTCGGACCTCAGGACGACGGTTATCCCGGTGGTTTCGTCGGAGGCAGTTGTGCCCTGGGTTTCCGTTTCTGGGAAGAACTATTGATGGAGCGATTCAACGTTGTTTATTGCACTTGTCCTCCTGGCCGCGTGAGGGCTAGGGGTTGGGGTGGACTTAGATGAATGTGTCCCTCTCTGTCCAGAGGGACCTTCTTGGCTGGTCGGGCTCTTGGATGCTTCCTAAGTAAACAAGAGGTGCCGCAAGAAAAGTGCAGCTAAATATCAAAGAAGTGTGAAGGAGAGCAGGAAAGACTTCCCGGAAGAGATGGCATTAAATCTGGGATGGTGTTTGCTGGCTGTGTAGATTAGACTACTCTGGAGAATGATTTAAAGATTGAGGTCCCAAGAAGACAGGTGATCAGAGCTGTACTTTAGAAAATTCAGCATGCGACTGTGTTGTTCAATTAATTGAAGGAAGCTATTGAAAGGAATTGCAATGGTTCAGGTGAGAACTAATAAGAGCCTAAATTAGGGCTGTGGTAGTGGAAATGGAGAGGAAGCATGTGATAAGCAGCATGAGGATTGTGATGAGTGTTGGACAGGGGTGGGTAGAAGGACATGAAAAAATAAAAAGGAGGAATGGAGAAAAACGAAGGGTCTTCTGTACCAGACCTACCAAGGAACTCCATTGTACTTTAAAGATAGGAGGTTAGACAGTGAAGAGACTGTGCCTTGCCCTGGCCGGGTGGCTCAACTTATTGAAGCATGGTTCCATACACCAAAAGGCTGTAGGTTTGATTCCCAGTTGGGGCACGTATCTAGGTTGTGGGTTCGATCCCTGACCACCTATGGAAGGCAATTGAGCAGTATCTCTCTTTCTCTTCCTCTCTCCTTCTCCCCCTCTCTTCCTCTCTCTCTCTCTCAAAGCGATTAAAAAAAATGCTTAAAACCCAACATCTAGAAATCTTGTTTAAAAAAAGAGAGAAACTGTGCCTTTGCATGTGCTGTTTTCTCTGCATCTCCATCTCCCTTTTTTTTTAAATATTTTTATTGATTTCAGAGAGGAAGAGAGAGGGATAGAGAGATAGAAACATCAATGATGAGAGAGAATCACCGATCGGCTGCCTCCTGCATGCCCCTTACTGGGGATCAAGCCCGCAACCCGGGCATGTGCCCTTGGCCAGAATTGAACCCGGGACCCTTCAGTCCGCAGGCCGACGCTCTATCCATTGAGCCAAACCAGCTAGGGCTTGGTGCATTCTTATCTGCAGGTTCCAGTTCATATACCATCTCATTTATGAAGTCTTATTCTCGCAAGAATAGTTATTGTCACTCCTCAGAACACCCAGAGAAAACACTCTTCTTACATTTCTAGCTCTCCAGAGTGGCACTATAGTGTTGTGGTCATGCATATGGACTATATTTGTAAGCATCACACTCAGTGCCAGACCTAAGATTTCAACACCCTAGGTACTTAAATGAAAGTTAAGAGACCCAGAGTTAGGTAGTGTGGCTTGGTGGAACTGGCATTTTTGTTCTGGGTCCCTGTTCTCTACAGTCTTTGAATTATCTCTGTGAATGAATTTAGGAGGGAGGTTGGTATTTGTATTAGTTAGGGCTGTGCCATAACTATGCTGATAAATTGAAATTCTTAGTGAATAAATATATCTGAAATAAATTGGGACTCTATGGTAGTTCTTAGCCAATTGTGAACAGAATGGCCAGCTCACTTTCCCAAGACCTAGGAAAAGCACTGTGCAAGCTGATGATTTCAGATTATTTTGTAGCATGGACATTTGATGTGAGATCCTCCCTGGAGTGATAACCTGTAACTATTTATAGCCAGGGGTCCTGACTAAGGAACTTTGAAGAAGGAAGAGAAACTCTCTTTGCTCATCTTTCACATGTTTCCCTCCTGATTTGGTCCCTTATAGTCCATTGAAGAAGAATAAGGAAACCACATCTGGCTCCTGGTTCTCCTGTCCAAATAATGTTCTTCCTGTGGACCGGGAAGAAAAGGGAGAGATACTTAGGTCAAGGGCAGATGCCCAGGTTGCAGGCTTGATCCCCAGTGGGGGGCGTGCAGGAGGCAACCAGTCAATGATTCTCTTTCATCATTGATGTTTCTATCTCTCCCTCTCCCTTCCTCTCTGAAATAAAAAAATATATTAAAAAAATAATCCTATATAATAAAAGCCCAATGACCGAACAGTGGAATGACCAGAACGACCGGTCGACCAGTCACTATGACATGCACTGACCACCAAGGGACAGACATTCAATGCAGGAGGCTGATGAGCATTTGGCAGGCAGGCGAGTGCTTAGGGGCAATCAGGCAGGCAGGAGGCGAGCAGTTAGGAGTGATCAGGCAGGCAGGTGAATGGTTAGGGGCGATTAGGCAGGCAGGCAAGTGGTACAGGGTGATCAGGCAGGCAAGCAGAGTGGTTAGGGGAGATCAGGCAGGCAGACAGGCAGGCCAGTGGTTAGGAGTCAGCAGTCCTGGATTGCGAGAGGGATGTCCGAATTGTGAGAGGGTGCAGGCTGGGCTGAGGGACATCACCCCCCCACCCCCATCCCATGCACGAATTTCATGCACTTGGCCTCTAGTGTGTATATATATATTTATGTTGTGTTATTTGCATATTTTAATATATAATATATTTGTATATTTTGTCATTCAACAACTATTTACTGAGCCTTGCCAAGTAGTGTCAGGAGTTAGTAGACATCATTAAAAGCAATTATTTTGTTGCACAACAATTATTTGTAGAATTATCTGAAGAGCCCAGATCTCCTGATTTCTACTTCATTGTTTACTTAACTCTATGTCATACTGCCCCCCTTGGCAAATGAAGATGGTTGAAAAATTGAACTATTCACCCAGCTGGAGAAATGGGACTGGGACCTTGATTCTGAATTCATTACACAGCCTTCTCTGAAAAAAGACCAGGGCCTTACGAGCAGAAATGGACTTTGGAAATCATTAGTAATTGAAAGTTCCCTCCCAGCTTTTTCCTCCTTTCTCTGAAAATAGGACTGCTGAGAGA